GTCTTTTACATCGTCGGAACTGTTCATCCAATAAAACCGTTCCCGAATTCGCTGAAGGGTCTTTTTCACACCAAAATGCCCTCCTGATGGACTGTCGTGTAACTGACGAAGTACTTCGGCTATTCTGCTCTTTGGAATCACCAACTGTCTTCTCTTCTCTGAACCGTCATCATTTTCCAGGACTCGTTTGAGCAAGCCATCTTCCATGATAAATGAGTCCCACTGGGCCCAATACGTCTTAACTATTGAGCCTAGGTTCGATATTTCTTGCCAAGGTGGTCGACGGTTTTCCTCTTTCCATTTTTGGATTTTCTGTATAACTGGATCTCTCTCTTGTTCTTCCCTGATCTTGGTAGGCGTCCAGTCGTCGTGGACCACCGTCGTTCTTAGCACTGCTGCTTCCTTGGATTCCGTTTTGTTGCAGTGAGAACACTCTGCTGGGCATGGCCTTCTGGAAAGAGAATCGGCGTTTCGGTGGCTAACTCCGGCCCGGTGCTCAATCTTAAAATCATATTCTTGGAGTCGTTCGATCCACCTGGCTATCTGACCCTCTGGATTCTTAAACTGCATCAACCACTTAAGGGCGGCATGGTCGGTTCGGATTAAAAACTTCCTTCCATAGAGGTATTGATAGAAGTGCTCTACTGATTTCACTACTGCCAGAAGTTCTCTTCTCGTGACGCAATAATTTCGCTCAGGTTTTGAGAGGACTTTACTAAAATATCCAAGGACTCTTTCCTGTCCTCCTTGAATCTGAGACAGCACTCCTCCAATTCCCACATTACTTGCATCTGTATCTAAGATGAACTCTCCTTCTGGCAGTGGATACCCTAAAATTGGTGCTGTGATTAAATGCTTTTTTAAGGTTTCAAAGGCATTCTGGCAGTCTACATCCCAGCGGTATTCTCTTGCTTCCTCTGTAAGTCGCGTTAATGGTTTAGCGATATCTGCAAACTTCTTAATAAACCTCCGGTAGTAAGTACACAGTCCCAGAAAACTTCTCACTTGATGTTTGTCAGTTGGTTTTGGCCATTCCTTAATAGAATCGATTTTTCCCTTATCCACGGCCACTCCTTCTTTACTGACTATATGACCCAGATAATTGACTTTACCTTGAAATAGCTGGCACTTCTTGGGGTTTAACATCAATTGGGCAGCTTTAAGTCGATTAAAAACGTTTTCTAAATTCTTCAGATGTTCTTCAAATGTCTTCCCCAAGACGATTATGTCGTCTAGATAAACTAGGCATGTTTTCCAAGATAACCCTCTCAACACATTTTCCATAAGCCTCTCAAATGTCGCAGGAGCGTTACAAAGTCCAAATGGCATAACGTTAAATTGCCATAATCCAGATCCTGTGGTGAAGGCTGTCTTTTCTTTATCTACCGGGTCCATTTCTACCTGCCAGTATCCAGACTTCAAGTCCAAAGTAGAAAATAACTTACTTCCAGCCAATGTGTCTAATGTGTCATCGATCCGAGGCAGAGGATAACTATCTTTCTTGGTAACGTTGTTCAGCAAACGGTAATCCACACAGAACCTCGTTGTTCCGTCTTTCTTCTTAACCAGGACCACCGGAGAGACCCATGGGCTCGTAGAAGGTTCTATCACCCCGTCTTTCTTCATTTCCTGAACAATCGTTTCAGCTTCCTCTCTTTTCGCCTGTGGTAATCGTCGAGCTGTTTGACGAATTGGCTTAGCATTACCAGTATCAATTTTATGCTTAACAACGGTAGTTCTTCCCGTCTTTCCTCCTTTCGGTACGAAAATATCACGATACTGCCGAAGAAATTCCCTTAATTTCCTTTTCTCAATCTGATTCAGAGACTGTCCAGCAACCGCAACCATTTGATCAAATTTATCGTTGGAATTATCAGACGTTGTCGTCTGACGGATTATGGATGTGACAGGTACACAAGTTCCTACTTTTGTCTCTTTCTTGATGGTCACTGGGTAGTCATTGACATTAATAAGTCTCACAGGAATTTCTTTAGCCGAAGTCACTAATTCTTTTCCAATTATGATTCCACGGCCAACTTCGTCGTCATGATTCCAAGGCTCCATCATAACAGGTGTTCCTTCGTCCACAATTCCCTGTAGCCGCGCTACTATTATCGTTTCACTTCTCGCAGGCACGACTGTATCTTCTTTAACGGCTGCTTGCATAGTGTTGTCATCATGTGGATGGAGAAATACCTCCTCGTTACCAACTTTGATTACCTTATTCTTAAAATCCAATTGGAATCCATGCGTATTCATTACGTCCATTCCTAATATAACATCCTCTTCGATGTCAGCAACTATAACAGTATGGACGAACTTTTCTGCTCCAATTCCTAATTGTACCTGGATTTCTCCATGAATGTTGGCATTTTCACCTGTGGCGGTCCGAAGTCGCAACCTCGTTGGTAACAGTTTCTTTCGGCTGTTTATAACTGTCGGGCGTATAATGGTTCTGGTCGCTCCAGTATCCACCAACAACGTATGCTTTTTACCATTTATTTCTCCATCTACATATACACTATCTTCACGACATTTCAAAGAAGCTATTAGTATCAGAGGGTCTTTGGTAAAGTTCTGGGTCGAAGCTGCTCCCCTAAGGCCGACGCGTTCTGGTTTTGTCTTTGGTCTTATGGTCTTCGTTTTCTTGTGTGTCATGCTTTTTATCATATTAAAGAGCTGGTCAAGTTTATCTTCATCTCCTTCCTCTTTTACAGTCCTAACTTTGCTATACCCGCCAGAGGCCTGCGTAGCTGACTCGTATTCGAGGGCGGCAGATAAGACATCCATCAGCGTCTTGTGACGAGCTAATCGTAGTGTTCTTTGCATCTCATGATCACGAAGACCATCAATAAACGTTTGAACGGCCAACTTTTCCATCATGTCTTCGGGAGCTGTTGGATAAGCATATCGCACTAATCTGGCGATATCTACTTCATATTCTTGAAGAGCCTCATCTTTCTTTTGTCTTCGATTTTTAAGCTGCGACTGATATACATGCTCCAAGTGTTCGTGGCCATATCGCATATTTAACCTCTTCTTGAGTTGTTCGAAATCATTCGTCTCCTCTACGGCTATGGTCTGGAGCACATCTAAGGCATCTCCTCGAAGAGCGATAGTCAGGTTTACAGCCTTTTCTTTTTCAGACCATCCATTCGCTCTTGCAGCTGATTCGAACTGTTTCATGTAGTTGTTCCATGATGATTTTCCGTCGAAAGTTGGAACTTTAACATGAACAGAAACTCCACATCCTTCAAATTTCGGCCGCGTTTCCAACTTACATTTCGTCTCATTTTCTTTTATCTCTACCGGATCTAAAGCTACCGTATTAATTGGTGGTAGCACTCTCGTGTTAGTTATCATGGTCTCTAACTGTTTGATTTTCTCTTCTACTTTTTCGAATGTTTTGGAAACTTCTTCAAATTTCTCATTATTCTTTTTCGAAGTTTCTTCCATCATTTGAGAAACATTTTCAAATTTCTCGTCGAATCTTTTTGACACATTTTCAAGTTTCTCGTCGTTTTGTCTAGCTACTTCTTTAATAATTTGAGACGTTTCATTGAATCTTTCATCATTTTTTTTAGAACTTTCTTCGATCTTTTGAGACGTTTCATCGAATCTTTTGGAAACATTTTCATCATTTTTTCTAGAACTCTCTTCGATCATTTGTGAGACATTCTCAAATTTTCCATCGATTATTTTAGTTAAAACGGCTTCTTCTGCTGACTGGAACTGGAATGTCTCTGGGTCGTCTCCATTCTTGTTGAGAACAGTCTTCAGTCGTTCTTGGAGGATCTTCTTGGACCCGCTGCAGTCTTCATCACGTTCTTCTAGTTGCTCACGCAACTGTTTCACTGAAAGTTCTACTAGCAGCATCTTTGGTCAGGCACACACGTACTTTTTAAATGTTCTTTCGTACAACGATCACTCCTGAACTACGCGGATGTTCCCGACGAACAATACCTTTCAAAAGTTCAAAAGTCTTTTTCAAAAATCAAATTAAATTTATCTACGATCCCACTTCTGCACCACTGTGGCGTCTTTTTATTGCTCTAATTTATTTGTCTTTATTCTAATTTATTGTCTACAATCTAATTTATTAAAACTCACGATAGCTAATTACTAATTTATTAAATAACTTTACAAATGTATTTATTTCACGTTTCGTTACATTTAAATACCGCGTTTACCGATCTTCTTATGACTGCCTCAAATACAAAAATCTTTCATTTATATACACAACTGTTGTCATCTGGAACTTTCGGCAAACTTCCTGAATAGTCTCGTATTTTGGTGAAGGCGCTCGACTCGTTTTTCAACCTCGAGACGTGGATGACTCACTAAAATTAGTGTCTAGAGATTTCTGGTAAACAACTGGTAGCTAAGCTCAGGTATATTTTGACCTACAAATTACGAGAATCAATAAAAAAGAATTAGTCATAAAATATTTACAGTTCTATATGCCATAACATTTAAAATCGTAACAGTATCATATATGGTGCAGTTAAAAAATGCCAATATTAACAGAATTTTTAAAATGTTATCAATATTATCGTCATCTAATCACCAGTCTATTTATCTGGTTGTTACATGAATCAAAATAAGCGTCAAGCTGTTAAATATATGCAAAAATGTAGTTTCTTGCAAACACATGCCTCCTCCGTCATAAAATTTGAGAACTTGGAATTTCCCCAAAATTATGGTAATTGTTTTAATAAATGATAAAGTTCCGGTTATTGTGTGTGGAAAAATATATTTAAATTGTTCAATATAATTAAAATATATTTAAAAATTCTTTACATTGGGGATATATATATATATATATATATATATATATATATATATATATATATATATTGTTATGATATGTAAAATCGAGAAAGATATTGGTTTGTCTAAAATATCTCAAGATTCAAAAACATTAAAATTAAAATAAAAATTTGACGACAGTAAACGAAGGTTTGGGAGTACAGATAAGAGTGGGAGACAAATTCCATATTATGAAATGTGTGGTGATTGAAGATTTAAATCATGATATGATAGCGGGAATTGATGAATTGAGGAAAAAAGATATCACCATAAATTTTTCGGAAAATAAACTTGAAATCAGAGCAGAACCAGACAACAGAGAAGAAGAAAAGCAAACAGATAGGAAAACAAATTCTGGAAGGATCAATGCACAGAAAAAACGCAAAGAAATCGATATGGCTGTGGAGGATAAACCGAAAGTACAAGAACAAAATCTAACAGAAGAGAAAAAGAGAAGGAAGAAAAAGAAGAAGAGTTCGAAAAGAAAGCAGGAAAATAAGATGGAGACAAGAGAACAACAAGAAATAGAAGGTACAGAGGAATTGTCGGCAACCGACGATAAAACAGAATGGAAGCAGGAAGAAAAAGAAGGTATCATCAGAGAAATGAAAGGAATAGAAACATGGTGCTCGGAATACCAAAGGGAATTAGAGGATAAAAAGAAAACAGAAGAAAAAATGGCACTGATGTACGAGAATCCAGAATTTTGTGAAGAAATACTATGGGCAGTGAACACATGTGAACAAAGGGAGGATGAAAGAAAAATAAATTGTGGAGAAAACATGGGAAAGAAAATAGAGAAGATTTTTGGAAACCATGGAGATCTTGTTAATGAAGTAAACCGAGTGGCTAAAAATTATGAACTTTCTTTTAAGGGAAAACACTTGGAAAAATTTAAAAAGAAAATATATCCAATCCCGTATAAAAACAGGCAATATACGGGGTATTTTAACATTCACGACATTTATCAGTATCATACGTAGATTTTAATAACATAGTGAAGTAATTTGATCCTAGAAAACTTTTGTCATTTTTAAAATTTAACAAAAGGTTTTCGGCAGATCAAATGGCGGGGATTTGTTATGATATGTAAAATCGAGAAAGATATTCGTTTGTCTAAAATATTTCAAGATTCAAAAACATTAAAATAATTCAGATAATTAGGATAATACCCAACAAACATTTCGAAGAAGGAAAATATTTAAATTTTTGGATTACCTGTATTAAACAAAATGTAAGCTAAGCATAAATTATTTCCTTTGTTATACTATACTTGAGTGACCCGCATAATTTTAAGTGAAATCCCAAACACAATTGAACCGGGTTTTTCCAAATACATTAACGCAGCGATTATAGACAATAGAAGAGATTTGGAAAGATGTTTTTGTTAGTTTTTAAGAATTATAGAAAATTATTATTTGTAAATAAGTTTTAGGAAATTTTATAATTATAGGTAAAAATTTGTTTGTTATCGGAATGAAAGAATGGGGAATTGTGACGGGTTTTGATTGGCGGAGATTAAAAAAGGTGGGATAGATATGTAGGAATGACAGTTTAGCTAGATTTCGGAGGGAGAAAAGATAGTCAGTTGGTTTTCCAAGGGTGCAAGGCGAACGGCCGTTGTTCTCGGGTAGTTTCCCAGAGGTAGGAAGCAGTAGCAGTGAAAGTTTGTGAGTTTTCGTGTAGTTAGTGTATCTGACAGAAGCTGATCCAGTAAAATATTGTAAGTCATATTTTTCTACTTATATTCCAAGAGTCACTGTTCAGGCCAACGAGAGATTCAGTTTATCGTAAAGAAAAGATATTCCAAGAGTCATTTTTCACTCAGGCCAACGAGAGATTCAGTTTATTGAGAGAAGAAGAAGCTAGCATAATTTGAACGATTCGTGCATTTGAAGGAGATCATTAAGGACGAGATACTTGCAATAATTTATTGTAAGATTGCTGATTACTTAGGGAGCGGCCACGAGTAAATAGTATAGTCTACAAATAACAAGGATTTGGACCACTCATCATCAGAGAGAGATAGTTTTGTTTTCTGCAGTTTTTCTTTCATTGATAACACAATTTTTACACTTAATTTAGAAAGGATATAAATATTTTGATTAGGAGATTTAGAGTAATACTTGGATTTTGAGATTTCAACTAATATTGTTTGTACCATTAATTTTGAAGGTTCACGTACGTAGAACAAAATTTTTGAGAATCATTATATGAGATTTTGTTTATCGAAAACATTTGAGTGTGAATATTATTTCATTATTTTTATTTCAATATATAGTGTTAGATCATATGTGTTTTTTATTATTCCGGTATTCTTTGGACCTTCCCTTTCACATGTAATAGCATAGATATTGAAGCATGAATAAAACCCTGAGATAAGAGAATTAAAAATTGTGATAGAAACATAATCATATCATTTAAATAATTTTAATTAATCAAAAAATTAATTAGCTAATTATTGCTTGGCGCACCAAGACTTTAAATATCACAATAATATATATATATATATATTATATAATATATATATATTATATATATATATATATTCTTTTTTTTAGAAAGGGCTTTAGTGACTATGTCAGTCATATATAAGGATATCTTGGGTTTAGTAGTCAACACTGGCCTTCAAGTAAAACTCTTTTAGGTTTGTTAAGCTTTCGAGTTTATTGTACTCTTTTTCAAAACGTACTAACACCTTAACCACCTTAAACAACACCTTAAACAAAAGAGAAGACATTGAAAATCTTAGTGCTATATACAGTAATCTTCTTTTAAATAAAAGAATAACAATATAAAAGTTCTTAAAAGTTACGCATATTAAAGGGATTATTGCAAGTTCAAATGAGATAAAATTTATTTTTATTTGTGTTTTTTTTTTCTTAATTACTTAGTAACATAAACTCTGTTGCTTGTTTAATAACTGCAAAGGATACATTTCTACATATATCAAAATTTGCAATGAAGGTTTGCATAAACATAGACACTTCCTCTGTCAAACTAATCTAAAATAAATATAAAAGATAGAAGAGACATGCAAACCTTAGTAATAAGTTTTGACAGAACGAAAAAGAAAATCAAATTTTTAATGTCATTATGTTAATTAATTTTACTAATTTTAAAACACAATCCTCACAAGGGTAAGCCTATTGAAGATATAACAACTTCATTTTTTTAATGTAGTTTTTATGTTAATTTTTAGTACGTTTTGAAAAAGAGTACAATAAACTCGAAAGCTTAACAAACCTAAAAGAGTTTTACTTGAAGGCCAGTGTTGACTACTAAACCCAAGATATCCGAATATATATATATATATATATATATATATATATATATATATATATATATATATATATATATATATATAGAAAGAGAGAGAGAGAGAGAGAGAGAGAGAGAGAGAGAGAGAGAGAGAGAGAGAGAGAGAGAGAGAGCTAAGATTAATACTATTATAAAAATTAATATAAAACTCACCCGTCTTCCGGATTGAACCGCGTTGATTTCCATTGCGCCGAGCTTTCGACATCCTCTCTGATATCTTTTTCAGTGCTTCCGAGGTCTCAATCTCCCGAGCCTCAGACACTAACTACTACACTGATCACTAGAGATACTGAGATAGATAGATACTGAGCAGTGAAATGAATAGTGATCAGTGTATACTATAATTCCACTATTTGGAAGAGTGATTTCATCCTTTGAAGGCGGAAAGGCGGGGAACGACGTAGGAAAATCTAGTGGCGTACAGTCACTTTTATTTCAACGTTAATTATATCATATTTTTTAAATATTATTTGTTCTTAATAGGTCACAATATATTTATTTACAGGTTTTTACTGACGTTTCACATCTTTTAATTAGTTTTTTCTATGATTATTCTTTTGGAAGCAGCAAATTTGAAGTTGAGTTGGCCCGGAGGTTTTACAACTGTAGCGACTGCACTTTTCCAGTCTTGAACGGTTACCTGGGTCCTAACTTTTCTAACTGTGCTTGGGAAAACATTTTTTTTTTGTTCAATCCTCCCGAATACCCTATCGGAAAGAATAAAGGAGTGTCCAACCACAGGATAAGTAACAGTAGTTTTTTACAACTTAATGTTTCATATAAAAATTTGTACAAAATACCAATCACAGTACTTAATGTTGTTATTTTGGCTGGGGCAGCCATCGCAGAAAATCATTATTTTCTTGATTTCTGAAAGGTTCTTATTTCTAAGCTGGTAGTATAAAATCGAAGCGATTTCATTAGACCCTTTATATCTTTGGCGTTCACACCATGTATAAGCATGCATTTACGACTTATAATGGAAGGGAAAGTGGAAGGAAGAATAGGCCCAGGAAAAAGAAAATGCTCCTAGTTGAAGAATGTAAGGGACTGGACAGGCATGGACACACATTCGATACTAAGAACAGCTCAAGATAGAGAGCAATTTGCTGTAGTTATAGCCAACCTTCAGTAATGGAGAAGGCACCTTAAGAAAAAGATAAGCATACACTGAACCAGGATTTTGTACACTAGTAGAATTTCTCTCACAGATGGAAAACTTGTAGAGGTACAGTTGCCTGCTATAATAGGTAGCCTGGTCTGGAGCAGGTGGCAACACAAGGTTCTTTTGAGAATCAAAAGAAAGTTTAAGTATAGAAGGCCCGTCGTCTTTTTTCAGCATAGGATAAAAAGTTTTTTCCTTTATTTTATGAACCGTATGTTTAGCCATAGCTTCAACCTTCCTGGGTCCTGCAGGCATCGTTTTTATTTGGCATTTCAGACGAATGCATTGCGAACAAGCATCTGTTGCTGGAATATTAAAATAATAGTTGAAAATATACAGGAAGTAAGAATACTTCACCTGCTGGTTGTCAATTACTAATTGGTTGTACTGTTTCCAAAGTTTTTTGCTGTGCAATCACTTGGCGTATAGTGTATGGTGCTTTTCTCCCTTGTATAATGGGACTCCACAAACGTGATTTTAGGAAATTTGTAACAGCTTCTTTTTTACCTTTAAATTTTTCAGGTTTTTGGCTACTCCCCTTCGTTCTCTTTTTCTTCTTCTTCTTCTTCTTTTTATATAGACATGACTGTGTCTGTTTTTTAATGTGCCTCCAGTAAGTTGTCGTTCCATCGTTTTTGTGGCCTTTCTACTGATCGTCTTTTTATTAAGGAACCGTCTCTTGCCGTCTTTACTACTCTATTTGTTGTCATTCGGCTTATATGATCGTTCTATTCTATTTTTCTATTTCTTGCCCAGTTCTTGATGTTCTCCACCTTGCATCTACATCGTATATCTGTACTTCTAGCTCTGTCCCATAGTGTCTTACCATCAATTTTTCAGTGTTTTCATTTTTGCTGTTTCTAACATCCTTTTTGTCCTTTCTTTATCAGGTCTTGTTTCTGCCGCGTATGTCATTATTGGTCTGATGACTGTTTTGTAAATTCTGCTTTTCGTTTCTTTCCCGATATTTTTATTTCTCCATATTGTTTCATTTAAGCAGCTTGCGGCTCTGTTTGCTCTATTCACTTGATCTTAAGCGAAAAGCTCGAAACTACCGTGATGCCTAGTGAAATTTTAAAAGATATTTCTTGCCAATATTTTGAACGCGGTATTTAGAAGTACCCAAAATTGTAAGAAAAGCTTTGGAGCAAACCTGTACCATTCCCTCGAGCCGGGTTGACACGAAATATTTTATGGATATACAACTTTTTCTCTCTACATTGTTATCCAATCTTTTATAATTTTTCCATTTTCTATTCTTTAGTGGAGCTAGTTGCTTCGTATGTTTTAAAATAAAATTATCTTGGTCCAGTTTATTTGGTGTCTCATAAAAAGATTGATGAAAGCGCCGTACATCGTGGAGTTTAAGTTTTGAACAATAATATGTTTTTGAATGAGTGCTTGTTGGTAATAAAAGGTAGCCTTTTGCTGTATGCCTGGAATAAATAAAAATAAAATTAATAAACTGTTTGAATAATTAATGCAAAAAATTATTTATCGAAATATAACCTCAAATAAACCTAAATATTTCGTTTCTCAATATTTCTCTTCCACTTATTTTTAACTATTCTTGTTTTCTTTGGTTTAGGATCCATTACTATTAACACTGTTAAGAATAATTAAAATAAAAACTGTATTACTTTTATTTAAAAAAGTAAACTTTTTAATGTTTGCAACAGTTTGCAACAGTAGAACGAACTAGTTTTGCTACCAACTCTTATTTTATATAGTGAAAATCAAGAGAAACGATATCTTTATTCAGATAAAGTCCGTTAGCATTTATTAAAGGTGTTGTTTCCACCTTTTAACTATTTCTTTTGTTAGTGTTATTAATTCTCCATATTTATTTTTAATGCTGTATACTTCATGTTTTTTTTTGTATTCTTATCATCTTCAGAGTCCCGTAGAATAGTATTTGGTTACTTTTGCTATCTTGTTCTATTTTATACCCGAAATTTCCCAATTATCTCTCTTTACCGCTATTACCGCTATTTATGCTTCATAGACTTTAGGAAGGCCTTTGACCGAGTGCAGCATATGAAGTTAATAGATGAATTAAAAAACATCAATTTAGACAAAAAAGACATTGAGTTTATTAAGGCTATATACTGGAACCAGAAAGCAGTAGTAAAGGTGAACGATATAGAAACAAATAATATACCGATTGCGAGAGGGTTAGGCAAGGATGCGTCTTGTCTCCGACGCTTTTCAACGTGTACTCACAGGTCATATTCAGAAAAGCCTTATGGGAAAGAAAAGAGGGAATAAGAATTGGTGGAGAAATCATAAACACCATGAGATTTGCAGATGACACGGTAATTATGGCTGAGAGTATAGAAGATCTACAAACTTTACTAGATGCAATAAATAGTGAATGCATTCAAATGGGACTTGACATCAACACAGATAAGACCAAATTTATGATAGTATCAAGGAGTCCAATAAATAATGAACAACTAACTCTTGGTGGACAGCAAATAGAGAGAGTGACAAAATATAAATATCTGGGAGCTTACATCAACACAGAATTAGATCCAGACCAAGAGATCCAGATACGAATAGAAATGGCAAGGGCAGCATTCTTAAAATTCAAACAATTGTTCTGTGACAAAAATCTGAATATTGCGCTGAGACTGAGGTTTGTTGAATGTTACGTCTGGTCGCAATTATTGTACGGGGTAGAAACATGGACACTAAAAGCGCAAATAGTTAAAAAGATTGAAGCCTTTGAACTTTGGATATACCGGAGAATGTTGAGAATCCCATGGACTGCCAGGGTCACCAATGAGGAAGTGCTGAGAAGAATGGGTCGAGTCAAAAAATTGTTGAGAACGATAAAAGTACGCAAGACTGCATACCTTGGACACATACTAAGAAATAATAAATATAGTCTTCTGCAGGTCATCATGCAGGGTAGATTCGATGGCAAAAAGGGAATAGGTAGAAAAAGGAAGTCATGGCTGCGAAATATTCGAGACTGGACAAACATGACTGTAGACGAATTATTCCACGTTGCAAAAGACAGAGAAGCTTTTAAAAATGTGGTCGCCAACCTCCGTTAATGGGGACGGCATAGGAAGAAGAAGAAGACCGCTATTACTAAAGATCGGTTCTAAAGCAGGATGAACAGGAAACAGCACTGTAGGTAAATTTGGATCCAAAGGCAGAAACGTCATGGACAAACAGTACTATTTCTATTACAGCAAAATCTATACCAGATTAGTTTCTGATGAATAGTTTCTTCTCAAAAAAAGACTACAGAAGATGGACGTGAAAAAGTCCAAATGGCAAGATCCGAAACGAAATAGACAACATAATCAGTGACAAAAAGCATATATTCAACGCTGTCACAGTCCATAATAGCTTTACCACAGGCAGTGATCATAGAACGGTAAGAGCTAAACTAAAATTAGACTTAATAACCAAAAGATCCAAAATGGTTAGGAAGATAGCCAACCCGATATGGAACGTCCCAACGAATTTAAATGAATACCAAGACAATATCTATAAAATCCTACAACAAAATGAATGCATAAATACCCTAAACGAAAATATCGTAGAAGCTATTCGAGAGACTCAAGTAAAATGCTGCCTTAAACGACGCCAAGACAAAAAAATAACCATTGAAACAAAGAAACTAGAAAAGAAATCAAAGGAAACGGAAGCATTGACGAAAAAAAAAAACTACGAAAACTAAATAAAGAATTATCAAAAGCTATAAGGAAAGATTTAAGAAAATTTAAGAATGTAAAGGTCCTCCGAACTATAGAAAAGAATACAAGTCTGAAAGTCCTGAGACGGCTAAACAATGGAAAATGTGAAATACACAAACTGAAGAACAAAGAAGGAGTCCCCATATCAAAGAGAAAACCAAACGAACTTAGAAGCCGCCGCATCACGCAAAATCATCAACCAGGGTTCAGAGCTCATACCAGAGATCACACTAAGCGAAATTCAGACACAATGAAAAAGATGAAAAACAACAAAGCACGAGGAGAAGATAGAGTCGTAATAGAAGCTATAAAGATGGGCGGACGTACCCTTCTCAACCAAATAAAAATTGTGTTTAACCTTTGTCTAAGATATTGCATACCGGAAACATGTAACAACGCCGTAATAATTTTGCCACACAAGAAAGGAGACAAGGGGCACCTAGAAAACTATATTTCAATCTATTGAACGAAAAAATGCGTAAAAATAAGTATAAACCATTTAGTTAAAACAAACGTGATTATGAAATTTTGACTATGGTTGAAAAGCAAAAGATGGTTATACTTACTAGGTCACAATGCCTGAGCCACCAAAAAACTAGGGTAAAAACCATTTTAATTACATTTAGTTACAAAAGATT